GGATTCAGCGTTGGGCTTTTTCCTTTTCACTCGCCGTTACTAAGGAAATCCTCGTTAGTTTCTTTTCCTCCGCTTAATTATATGCTTAAATTCAGCGGGTAATCACGACTGAGTTGAGGTCAAAGAAATTGATAAATATATTGAAATTTTGATGAATTAATTTTAAATCTTTCCTTTTAGCAAAATATTTCTATATGAAAGATTTAAAATATTTGTTCAATATATTTTATTAATAAGAAATAAAAACTATCATTTTTATTTCTTATTTTTATTACTTATCAGGGGATAATATGATATGATAGGATTATTCTTCATTTTTATCACCTGATGATGATTATATATCATTTGTTTGAAATTCATCATCCATTCATTGAATATAATTCGTTTATTTTAAATAAAAATTTTTCTTGCATAAAATTTTTTGTTTAAAATAATGAATTACTTCATTTGAGATGAATTTAAATTTATTTTATTGACCCTCAACCAGACGTACCATTGGGAATGAACCCGATGGTGCAATGTGCATTCGAAATCTTTGTGCTCAATGCGTCTGCAATTCGCACTATTTATCGCAGCTAGCTGCGTTCTTCATCGACGCACGAGCCGAGTGATCCACCGCTAAGAGTTAAAAATTTCTTTTAATTTTTTTTTTTAAAAATTACAATTTGATATATATATATGTATGTGTGTGTATTTATTTGTTGGTAGCATATTTAGCATAAATGCTTATTAAGTCTACTTAATTAATTTCTTATCAAAATTAATTAAGCTATCGCTTTATCTTCATCATTATCGACGGTTTAGGCGATAATTTGGATAAAGTATAGACACCAACGAATATCACCGTTAATTCAATTGTATCAATTATTATTTAACTATTCATTAATATTATAATAGCAATTAATAAAAAATGAATAGTAAATAATAATTATGGATAACATTTATATTGTTATTATGTATTTATTTTTTGAAGCTCGTTAATGATCCTTCCGCAGGTTCACCTACGGAAACCTTGTTACGACTTTTGCCCGGTTCAAGCCACTGCGATTAAAGCGGTTTCCACCAAAGAATCTCCACCTCGTAAGGTTTCAAAACAGCAGTCTCCGCTTTTCTCGAAACGGCTCAGTCCCGGGCAGCGACGGGCGGTGTGTACAAAGGGCAGGGACGTAATCAACGTGAGCTGATGACTCACACTTACTAGGAATTCCTCGTTCAAGGGAAATAATTGCAATTCCCGATCCCGATCACGGAGGATTTTCAAGGGGTTACCAGTACCTTTCGGTAATGGTTACAGCACGCTGATTCCTCCAGTGTAGCGCGCGTGCAGCCCCGGACATCTAAGGGCATCACAGACCTGTTATTGCTCAACTTCATGCGGCTAAACACCGCTTGTCCCTCTAAGAAGTTGTCTGGACAAAATTATCCAGTAACTATTTAGTAGGCTAGAGTCTCGCTCGTTATCGGAATAAACCAGACAAATCACTCCACCAACTAAGAACGGCCATGCACCACCAACCACCGAATCATGAAAGAGCTCTCAATCTGTCAATCCTCACGGTGTCCGGGCCAGGTGAGTTTTCCCGTGTTGAGTCAAATTAAGCCGCAGGCTCCACTCCTGGTGGTGCCCTTCCGTCAATTTCTTTAAGTTTCAGCTTTGCAACCATACTTCCCCCGGAACCGAAAAACTTTCGTTTCCGGGAAGCTGCCCGTCAAGGCGTATTTACCGCCGACGGAACGCTAGTTGGTATCGTTTACGGTCAGAACTAGGGCGGTATCTGATCGCCTTCGAACCTCTGACTTTCGTTCTTGATTAATGAAGACATTCTTGGCAAATGCTTTCGCAGTCGTACGTCTCGCTACGGTCCAAGAATTTCACCTCTCACGCAGCGATACGAATGCCCCCGTCCGTCCCTCTTAACCATTATCTCAGATCAGAAAACCAACAAAATAGAACCGAGATCCTATTTCATTATTCCATGCACGAGTATTCAGGCATTAGCCCGCATTGAGCACTCTAATTTTTTCAAGGTAAACTTGCTAGCCACCATACGCAACCAATTAAGGTAACGTAAGGAAAACTGGCAATATTAGCCTAGGAGCCCAGTTCTCATCCAATGAATGGACCAGGTCCTGAGACGCAGATCCAACTACGAGCTTTTTAACCGCAGCAATGACGATATACACTTTGAGAGCTGGAATTACCGCGGCTGCTGGCACCAGACTTGCCCTCTCATAGATCCTCGTTAACGGGTTTAAATTGTACCCATTCCGATAACCGGCCTACAAAGAGAACGGTCTCGTTATTTTTCGTCACTACCTCCTCATTCTGAGAGTGGGTAATTTGCGCGCCTGCTGCCTTCCTTGGATGTGGTAGCCGTTTCTCAGGCTCCCTCTCCGGAGTCGAACCCTTATTCTCCGTTACCCGTTACAACCATGGTAGGCACATAAACTACCATCGAAAGTTGATAAGGCAGACACTTGATAGATATGTCGCCGGTACAAGACCATGCGATCAGCAATAGCTATTCAGAGTCACCAATTAACGGGCTTATAACCCGATTGGTTTTAATCTAATAGATGCGCTCGTTCAAAAGTCGGAGCTTTGGTGCATGTATTAGCTCTAGAATTGCCACAGTTATCCACGTTGGATAATCAACATCAAGTACATTATAGCTGTTATAATGAGCCGTTCGCGGTTTCACCATTATAGGTTTATTTGAACTTAGACATGCATGGCTTAGCCTTTGAGACAAGCATATAACCGCCGACAGAATCAATCGGGG